GGAGAGAGGGAGATGCGATAGTTTTATATATGGTATTAAATAATAATAATATAATAATTATTATTAATTTAATAATCATCAATCCACACATTTTTAGCTCTGACATGCCATTATTTTGAAATGAATGTCCCCGTAAAGTAAAATCAACGTCTTGGACGCGTTGGCGCAATCTATTTTGCCATCAAGGGTCATTTGGATAACTTTGTCAATGATTGGGCTAATTCAAACTAATTTACTGAGTGACACGATGAGTACTATTCGTCGATCCAATTGAAGTCATCCGAAGAGTGAAAATTTTAGCCGATCTTCGCCTAGGCGAAAGCCAAAACCTAGCAAGATGACCCGGGCTACGTGCCGCTCAACACGAGTCGAAAGGTCCTAGGTGGTTGTCTGAACTACTGGATGTTACGGATAGGTCGTTGACTATCCCGAGTCAAGCAGGTAGAAACCCTACACTCTTGACATAAAAAATTGATGCCGAAAGTTCATTCTTTTCCTAAATTCTAGAAGATAGAATTACAATGTTAATAATCACAAATATACAATAGTCATCCATGTTAGTTATGTACCATAATTATGTTGCAAAAATGTTGTTGTTGGTGATAAAAGCAATAGTGCGTCGTAAAGGGCGTAGTTGATTGTTATAAATGCATGTAGGAGTTTTACATAAATATTAAAGTCAGTGGCTATGATGGCGTTAGTAGGCCATGAATGCTATAATTGGATGTTGAAGTAGTAGTTAACTAGATAGGACATAATTGGTCACGTATGTCATGATTGATAGTTGCAGTAGCATCAGTTAGTTAGAGAGGATGTCATAGTGGAAGGCCACAATGGCAGTAGCTGATCACATAGTCATAGCAAAAGACGACAATGAAAATAGTTGAAAATATGGGTTGTAGTGGAATGTTGTAATACAAAAGTTGGTCACGTAGGTCGTAGTGGGAAACAACATTAGTAATTGGTCACCTAGGTCACAATAGAACAATGTAATGAAAGCAGTTAGTCATGAAGGTCGTACCGAGAAACTACATTAGCAACTGCTCACATAGACTGTAGTTGGTCGCTATAAAAGTGACAGTCGGTCACATTGGGTGCAGTGGAAGGTTTTAATGTCATCACTTGGTCACGTAGGTTATAGTGAGAAGCTACAACAGTAAATGGCCACATTGCTCGTGGTGGGTTGCTGCAAAAGCATCAATTGACTATAGTTGTCTAGTTGGAAGTTGAAGTAGAGTCATTTGGCCACATAGCTACAGTAGAAGGTTGTATGATAACAGTTAGTTACATAGACCATACTGAGAAGTTATAGTAATAACTAGCTATATAGACTACAGTTGGTCATTTGAAGAGAGTCAGTTGACCATGGAGGCTATAGTTTGAAGCTAAAATAGTGTTAGATAGCCATAGATGTTGTGGTTGGAAACTACAGTTGCAATTACCTACATTTAGAACATAGTTGGTATTTGTAGTAACAGCTAGCTACATAGGCTATAGTTGATAATATAGGTCGTAGTGAAAGACTGTAATGACAGCAGTAGACCATATAGGTCGTAGTGAAAAGTTACAGTAGTATACAGTCACATAAGTGATAGTGGACAGTTAGCCACAAAAGTTATAGTGAAAAGTTATAATACAGCTGTCAGCACTATTTTTAGTGTGGGGTTTGCCCGACTGGGCAGTTAGCCACAAAAGTTATAGTGAAAAGTTATAATGACAATAGTTTGTCATGTAAGCCGTAGTGGGATGTTATAGTAGTAATAGTCCACATAGGTCTTAGGGGGTCCTTGTAAGAGCGTTAGTTAATCATAGAGGTTGTGGCGAAAGGGTGTAATGACAACACTTGACCGCATGAGTCGTAGTAAGAAGCTACAGTAGTAACTGGTTAGAAAGGTTAGAGTGGGTCAATGTAAGAGCGTGAGTTGGCTACAAAAGCCATAGTTAGCGTTACACTAATTGGTGACTTCAGCCCATCACTCGGTCTACTATTTCAACTAGCAATATCACTTGTTGGTATACGATGTAAGGAGGAAACTTCAAGAGTTTGGAGAAAGTCATCACATTCTAAACACGATGGTCGTAGCATTTTTCACCTGGAGTTATTGCTAGATCTCTTATGCATCGTGTCTGAGATATCTTTTACACCATATTCAGAATAATCTATTATCCCACATTTGGAATAGTTCGTTACCTATATTTTAGGATATTTCATTGCATAATATTCAAGAAATTTTACTATCCCATATTTAGGATATCTCATTGCACAGAATTTGAGATACTTTGTTGACAGTACTTGAGGTGCCTCACTACACTATATTCATGATACTTATTTACCCCGTATTTGGGATGCTATATTGCCCGTATTTGGGATATTTTGTTGCACAGTATTCGAGATACTTTGTTACTCCAAACTTGGGATACTTTGTTGCACAACCTTCAGATACTTTGTTACCCTATACTCGAGGTACTTCGTTGCATCATATTCAAGATACCGCATAACCCTGATAGTATGTTGCCCGATATTTAGTTGCACAATATTCATGATACTTCATTACACAATAGAATTCGTCGATGACAACAATAGTGGGGTTGATGGTGGTCGATGGCGGTTGCGAGTGGTGGCCAACAATGGTCAGAAGTTACGGGGCTGAAAGTTATTGTCGAATCTTCAATTCAGACAACACTGAAATTTGACTCCTCCGCTCAAGTGAAGTAGTGGAATCTATTTATAGCCCCTAGGGGAGAGACATCATTTTGTCATTTGACAAATACTCATGTAGCCACCTAATCGAATGACCCGCGTTGATTCCCCTTGAGCATATGAGTTTTTTTAATAATTTAAGGGCTTTAATGTTTTCAAAATAAAAAGAAATTAGGCTCACCATATTCCTCTCGTTGAGACGTTCGATTTGAATATAAATATTTGAAGTTTATTTGGCCTTTAATTAACAACATAAAACCTTCTAATGCAATTCAATGGCCAAATCTGGGCTTGATGGAACTCAGATTAGACCAATTTCAGTATCATCGAGCTCGTGTTGTCGAGACGGTTAATTTGACTACACTTGTTGAAATGAGAGCTTTCTGTAATCTTTAATTTGAATCGAAACTTCTTTTTCTCAAAAAAATGATTCAAGATTCATACCAAATAATAATATTTGTTGGAGACACATCAATATTGAATTATTATACAAATAAATATTAAAACACATAAGAAATACTCGATTTATAAGTAAATTTACACTAAATAAAAATTATTATCATTAAAACTTTGGTGATACCAGTCCCTCCTCACAAGCAGTCAAAACCAACCCAGCCAACCCATAATTTCCCCAAACCTAGCCGCCCATTTTCAACGGCTAGGATTCCACTTCTCTAACCCACTAATCCTACCTCAAACTCCTCCTCAGGCACACCACACACATGACACGACGCCCGCCGGCCTGCTTAAAACAACCTGCTTTTAGGCCCAGCCAAGCCACACTACTCATCACCATCCATCCCTCTTCATGTCGTTGTCCAATCCATCACCAAACATCGCCGGCGACGAACTCGACGGCCCCCTCAACGACAACGATTCAATCATCTCCAATCTCCGCACCTCCCATGCGGCCATATCCACCATCCTCCGCTCCTCCATCGCCACCGCCCGAGAGCTCGACGCCGTCGACGGCCGCCTATCTTGCCGGCGAGAATTCCTCTCCGGAATAGCCGCCGCAATCTCGCCGCTCCAATCCCAAGCACTCGCCACGAAAGCCCTCAACAGGCGAATCAACCAAGCTGTCTCTCCCGCCATCTCCTTCCTCCAAGCGTTTTCAAGAGCCCGACGGCTTGAGCGCCGCCTGCTCTCGCTTTCATCCGCAGGAAGTAATCAAGGAGGCGGGGAGGATCATACTTTGCTGTATGTGGATTGCGTCGGAAGGCTGAGTGAAGCGGTGGCGGAGGTGACCGCCCCGCGCCAAGCGGGGGGGGGGGGGGGGGGGGGGGGGGGGGGGGGGTGGGGAGGCTTCAAGATGCGGTGGAGTTTTTGGAACGGACGAAGGCGACGGATAAGCTGAGGTTGAAGAGGCTGAGAAATGCGGCGGCGGCGTTGGGGACGGTTTGTGAGGAGGAGGTGGAGCAGATGAGGTATGGTAAACTAAGTCATTGGGATAGATGTTTTTTAATTAATATTTTAGATTATCAATGCCGAAATATTTTAATTGAGTTTTATTGTGGCCAATTACCTGATTAACATTACTTGAAACATTAAATAAAGAGAGAAGTGGGTTGATGGGGTGGGGGGGTTATGAAGGTAAATCAATTTAGTTTTAGTAGGGATTTTAACATTCATAACGTACAAAATATTGTTATTTTTGTAATTAACATCTCAAATTAAAATATTATAAAATTCACACTTTCATTAACTCACTCTTCCATGTCCAAACTCCTCTCCTCTGGGGGTGACAACAACGGCGTGCATACAAAGACATCCCTACGCATTTACTGCAAGTTTCGAATTTGTCATCTCCTTGTGTGTCCACTATAAGCTCTGGCGAACTTCGAATCAATGGCCACAGAGCTCCATACATGTCTAGCTACGAAATGCAACGAAGAAATCACGATCTAAAAAGGCCGCCAGAAATTCCCTTCACTTTTCTTCAACTCCCACCCAAAGCCATTTGAGGAGCATACCTGAATTAGAGAAGGTGAAGTTTGCAAAGGCTGGTGGGAAGAAGATAAGAGTTTCAGATGTATTTGTACGTGTGATTGTGTCGATGTGTCGAACATATGTCTGCGGGATTTCGTCCTCGATGCCTGAGGAGAAACAAGGTGAGATTTTTTGTGTCTTTTTACATCATAAGCCACTCATCGCTAAAAGAGGAAATAAGTGGGAGTTTTAGAGGTCTTTATCTGCGCGATCTCGTGTTGTCACCACTGTTGAAAGAGGAATAGAGGTAGGAATTTTGGATGTCTTTGTACGCCATCGTATAGCCTAAAAATAGGTCTCGTTGAGTCAAGGGAGTCGTCGCCACTGGAGACGCACAAGACCTGTCAGACCGATCACCTTGGATGACCACCTCAGCCGGCCGACCACCATGGTCAGTCGTTCTAACAAGCCACCCGACCGACCACCTTGGTCGGCCACCACCTGCCTGCAACCTAGCTGGCCTACCAACAATGAGCCAGCCACAAGCAAGGCATTCTGCCATGGTGGTGACCGACAAACCCAGCTTGCCACTTGAGCCTGCCACCTTGGCCGACCACCCTAGCCGGTCGTCCACAACGAGCTAGCCACAATGAAGGAAGACTGTTGGCCAACTTGGCCGACCACTCCCGAACGTTTGACCACCTAGATTGACCCCCAAAAATTAGCTACTTTGACCACCCGATACCAACGGACCTCACAGACAAACCCCAAGAAGATGGATCCATGTGAGGAAAGAAACACGATACCACAATGCCTTAGAACAAGGGCATAAATGTAATCTTTTTCCTATATTTCTCTCTCTATAATAAAAGACCACTTGCATATGAAAAGAGTCCCTAAGCTCTCTCTCTCACTCACCCCAATGTAGGGAGGTCGCTCTCCTTTTCTGTTGAAAATCTACACCGCCAATCATCTGGACAACCGAAGAAAAGGAAAAAGAAAAGAAACTAAAAAAAGAAAATTGCGATCAAACACAAAAATTTTACTTGGTTCGGTCCATATGACCTCAAGAACACACAAAAATTTTACTTGGTTCGGTCCATATGACCTACATGAATGAGAGGGAAATCAACCATCAATCCAAGATTTACAGAGCTTTTCATTGAGAGATGAGCTCTCTTGTCATAGTCCCTCTCTCGAACCAGCTCTAATCAAGATCCCCAAGATGCTCTCCTCACTTTCTTGAAGTCTATCATATTATTCCTCTAACTGTTTTCTTCTTCTCTTGAAATCCTCTCATGTATCATTATTATTTATAACTAATGAACTATCCCCTCTAACTGTTTTCTTCTTCTCTTGAAATCCTCTCTGCATGTATCATTATTATTTATAACTAATGAACTATCCACATGTGGACCGGTCCACCAATCAAAAGTCTTCTTTCCTTCTTTAACAACAGATGATAGAATTACAAGTATGTCATTACCTTAATTTATAATTATGAGTCATCATGACATTCTGCTCATTTGGAATCATACATTATGTGGAATAATAGGAGCGGCTAAGACCTGAGAGACTCCTCATTACCTCCAGATGGGTAAATCTCCCCCTCGCTCTCCCTCTCGCTCTCCCTCTCGAAATTCACGACTTCAGGCATGGAAGAAAATGCACAATTACCGGGCTAACATCTTACGGGGCTAAGATGTCTCTCTAATACTCATAACTATCTTAATTTTTTTTCAGGTATGAGGGTCCACTTGACGAGGCTCTGCTGCGGCTTCAGGACAAGTACGAGGAGATTCTACGGCGGCTCCACCACCCGGACGTCGCCGAGTGCCCCAGTCCAAGAGAAGGCAAATGGGAGTCAGACGGTATGGATCTGCTTGGTCAGGGAATGGACGGTCCAGATTGGCCCTCTCTTGGGTCGGCCGAGGAGATCGAGGTTCTCCGGCGAATCTCCGAGACACTCGCTTCCAATGACTGCCTTGATATCTGCATCGATATCTTCGTTAAGGTTAAACGCTCAGCTCTCATCCTTTGAAAAAAATACATTTATTTCGAATTATTTTGCCCCTTACATTTTGACTAAATCATTATATTTTTCATATTTATAATAGATTTAACAACAATTTCGTAGCAATAAAAACGATCCGCACATTTGTGGAATTTAACAAAAAGACGCTGCCCCTTTGACAAATGTAGCTTATACCGTGTGGAGTGCTATATAATTATAAATGGGGTGGAGTAAATATAGAAATTAAATGAAAAAAAATAAAATTAGTTTAAATAAATAATTTATTAAATATTTAAATAAAACTATTATTTCAGCCGTTGTTGTTACTCCAGGTTCGGTATCGCAAAGTGGCGAAAGCTCTAATGCGTCTAAACCCAGAGTACCTCAAAAGCTACGAACCCGAAGACATCGACCGCATAGAATGGGAATCCCTGGAATCCTCCATCTCTCTCTGGATCAACCACCTCCGCGTCGCCGTCCACTCCGTTCTCTCCGCCGAAAAACACCTCTCCCGCGCCGTCCTCTCCTCCGCAATGGACGGCGCCGTCTGGCCCGAATGCCGCTCAAATCTCCGACCGCATAATGGCCGTCTTCCTCCGCTTCGGCGAAGGCGTCGCCCTCTCCTCTCCAGAACCCCAAAAGCTCTTACGACTCCTCGAAATGTTCCACGGCGGCTCCCCGCCTCCGCCCCGTCCTCTCCCTTCTGTTCGACGACGCCGCACCAGACATCGCCGCTCGGTTTCGAGAGCTGCAAAAGCTGCTCGTCAACGCCGCCTCTCGTGCCTTCGCAACGCTCGAGAACCTTCCCGATGCTTCGCCGCCGCCCGCCGACGCTTCGGTTCCCGGCGTCGTGCGTTATGTGATTAATTATCTCAAGTGTCTTGCAGATGGATCATATGCGTCGGCAATGGTGCACGTGCTCCGCACGGAGAGTTTGTGGAAAGCTGGGTTTCTCTCCCGGCCGGACCCTGACGAAGCTCTGCTAAGGGAATCGCTTGCCAGAGCGCTCGACGCCCTGCGAGCCAATGTGGAGATGAAGCGTGGGAGGTATGGTAAATACATAAATTTTCATTTTTTATGTAAATGCCCCTTAATCGAAATGTTTTTGTATAACAGGTCCAGGGACAGAGTCAACAGGTACAGGGACAGAGTGGCGGCGCAACTGTTTGCGATGAACTCATACTGGTACATGTACATGAGGACACGTGGCTCGGAGCTAGCTCGGCTGGTAGGCGAGGAGGAGATGAGAGAAAAGTACAGAGCGGCGGCGGAGGCAGCGGCGTTCGCCTACCAGAAGGAGGCGTGGGGAGCGATACTGAGAATGGCGCAGAGCGAGGTAGGAACAGAGAGAGGGGAGGCGGCGAGGGCCTTGGCGAGAGGAAAGGTGGAGGTTTTCGTGAGAGAGGTGGAGGAGAACTTGAGAATGCATAGAATGGCGGGTTATAAGATTCCAGATAAGGATCTGAGGGAGCAGATTAAGAAAGCTGTGAAGGAGATGTTGGTGCCGGCTTATGAGAGTTTCTTGCAGAGTTGCTCTGCGGCGATGCAGGGACGGGTGGTGGTGACTCCGGAGGCTTTGAAGGAGTTGATTGGGAGGTTGTTTGAATGCGGCGGTGGTGACGATACGGTGCCGTCGCCTGGAGGGGGGAGGTTGAGGAGGGAGAGGCGGAGGGGGTCGATTATTGATGAAGTTTAGAGAAAGACTCAATTCTCATGTTTTTACATATCTAACATTTAAATTTTAATTTTTACAAATATGTCATTAGATACATATCTAATGTATATGAAATAATGTATTTTATTTTTAAAATAATAAAATATTAATATTTTCGATATGATATGAAAGGTTTTAGTAGTATAAACATTAGAAAAGTGAGGTTCTAAGTGGTAGATATGTAAAATCATAGGAAATGGATGGAATGCATATAAATGGTCCTGAATTTAATGTTGATAAAAAGTTTAAAATTTATTGTGAAATTCTTGAGTTTGAATTAAATATTTGTTTTAGAAACTAAATAAACAAATTGAGCAAATGTATTGTTTTAGTTTTTTTGTTGATTTAATGAATATTTTGCTTTGTGATTCTTCATTTTTTTTAACACACTATGTAATAGATATCTTTTTTTTTTCCCCAAGAAAACAATTGAATATATGAATAACAATGCAAGAAAAAAATCTTACGTTTGGAGTCCAGACACTCCAGACGAAGGACGTTGCGTCTGGACAACGACTGCGATCCATCAGAAAAAGTTGAGACTCCGGAAGTATTATTTTTTTCCAAGGCAAGGGACTATGAATTATTTGGTAATTATAAGTTACATATTTTATTTGACAAAAATATATATATATAGTTAGAAGACTAAAAAATCACCAAATTCAAGTTTGAGCCTAAAGATCGGGCCCATGCCACCATTAGCATCGACAATTACACATAAGAACCCCTTAAAACATTGCAATTTACAAATCTCACTTGTTTTTTTTATTTTTTATTTTTTTTTTAACCAACAAATTGATGCATTTAGATCTATCACAATCAAATCATTAAGAATTTGATAAAACTGAAAAATATGAGTTGAATTTTCATGGAGATACTTAAAAATTGAATTTGAAAAAAGGATGAAAGTGAGTGCAAAATTTATGGATAGCAATGTATGGAGGGTCTTTGGTAGCAACTTTGAATAGAATTTAAAGTCCAATTTTGCAGATTTATGAATTTTCAGATATAAGGGCAAAAATTTTATCATCGATTCAGCTTAAATCCGGATTTGCTAAATCCATTGGGAGGGTGGATTGCATAGATTTAAGATTTAACGATTTACTAAATCCTACTTGCGGCCAAACACATATGTGTGCAATTGCGTATTGTTGTATTTATGATTTTTATTTAATGGGTTTATTTTATGTGATTTATTTTTTTTTATTTTTTATTTTTT